ATCGATGATCTAAGGGAGCAAATTTCTATTCTCAAGCGCAAATTAAGGAAGAAACCCACATCATCAACAACTCCATCATCACCACCTCCGAGGACATAATCACCTGGGTATGGGCACTCCCCTTGGCAACTACCAAGCATGGGGGAGTTGCCCCGGTATCGTATCACCATCACACTCCTATCTTTACCGTTTTACTTAGTTCGATCCTTTTGGTAATATCTTGATCTAGTAGAATAAAGTTTTGGTATGAATTAGTTTGGAGTTTTGCTTTGTGATCCCTCTATGTAATCGAGTCTGTGAGCTATCTATAATAAAGATTAGTGTTTGGTCAAGGGCCTTGCTATCTTGTTATGATCTTAAGTGCATAAAAGAGTAAAAAGAAATAAAAGAGATCGTATTGATCTTATGGATAGTAATGACATCACATATAGAGAATATGAGGCTTAAGAGTTGTTGAGAATTGGCAAACATAGTTTTGGTCATCGTTGCAATTAATAGGAAGTAATAAAGAAAGAGAAGTTTTCACATATAAATATACTATCTTGGACATCTTTTATAATTGTGAGCACTCATTAGAATATGACATGCTAAAGAGTTGATGTTGGACAAGCAAGACAATGTAATGGGTTATGTTTTCTCACATATCAGTTAAAGTAATATTGTCATGGATTTTCCAACATGTTGAGCTTGCCTTTACCCCTCATGCTAGCCAAATTCCTTGCACCAAGTAGAGATACTACTTGTGCTTCCAAATATCCTTAAACCCAGTTTTGCCATGACAGTCCACCATACCTACCTATGGATTGAGTAAGATCCTTCAAGTAAGTTGTCATGTTGCATGCAATAAAAATTGTTCTCTAAATATGTATGACTTATTAGTGCGGAGAAAATAAGCTTTATACGATCGTGTGATATGAAAGTAATAAAAGTGACGGACTGCATAATAAAGGTTCATATCACAAGTGGCAATATAAAGTGACGTTCTTTTGCATTAAGATTTCATGCATCCAACCATAAAAGCACATGGAAACCTCTGCTTCCCTCTGTGATGGGCCTATCTTTTACTTAATGTCTTATACCTTATGCAAGAGTCAAGGTGATCTTAACCTTTCCCTTTTTCATTTTATCCTTTGGCAAGCACCTCGTGTTGGAAAGATCCTGATATATATATCCAATTGGATGTAAGTTAGCATGAACTATTATTGTTGACATTACCCTTGAGGTAAAAGGTTGGGAGGCAACACTATAAGCCCCTATCTTTCTCTGTGTCCGACTAAAACTCCATAACCATAAGTATTGCGTGAGTGTTAACAATTGTGGAAGACTAAATGATAGTTGAGTATGTGGACTTGCTGAAAAGCTCTATTATTGACTATTTCCGATGTTATGATAAATTGCAATTGCTTCAATGACTGAGATCATAGTTTGTTAGTTCCCAATGAAGTTTCTGAATCATACTTGACATTGTGAATAGATTGTTACTTGAGCATAAGAAATCATATGACAATATATATATATATATATATATATATATATATTGCTTTTATAAGAATGATCATGATGCCCTCATGTCCGTATTTTATTTTTATCGACACCTATATCTCTAAACATGTGGACATATTTTTCTATATCGGCTTCCGCTTGAGGACAAGAGAGGTCTAAGCTTGGGGGAGTTGATACGTCCATTTTGCATCATGCTTTTATATCGATATTTATTGCATTATGGGATGTTATTACACGTTATGTCACAACACTTATGGCTATTCTCTCTTATTTTACAAGGTTTAACATGAAGAGGGAGAATGCCGACAGCTGGGATTCTGGGCTGGAAAAGGAGCCAATATTGGAGACCTATTTTGCACAGCTCCAAAAGTCATGAAACATCACGAAACTCATTTTTGGAATTAATGATAATTATTCAGCGGAAGAAATACCTGAGGGGGGCCACCCACCGTCCACGAGGGTGGGGGGCGCGCCCACTCTTACTGGGCGCGCCTCTGCCTTGTGGGCCACCTAGCAGCCCTCCGGTGCCGATCTTCTGATATATGAAGTCTTTTACCCTGAAAAAAATCATAAGCAAGCTTACGGGATGAAACTCCGCCGCCACGAGGCTGAACCTTGGCGGAACCAATCTAGGGCTCCGGCGGAGCTATTTTGCCGGGGAAACTTCACTCCGGGAGGGGGAAATCATCACCATTGTCATAACCAACGATCCTCTCATCGGGAGGGGGTCAATCTCCATCAACATCTTCACCAGCACCATCTCCTCTCAAACCCTAGTTCTTCTCTTGTATCCAATCTTTGTACCAAAACCTCAGATTGGTACCTATGGGTTGCTAGTAGTGTTGATTACTCCTTGTAGTTGATGTTAGTTGGTTTATTTGGTGGAAGATCATACGTTCAGATCCTTAATGCATATTAATACCCCTCTGATTATGAACATGAATATGCTTTGTGAGTAGTCACGTTTGTTCCTGAGGACATGGGTGAAGTCTTGCTATTAGTAGTCATGTGAATTTGGTATTCGTTCGATATTTTGATGAGATGTATGTTGTCTCTCCTCTAGTGGTGTTATGTGAACGTCGACTACATGACACTTCACCATTATTTGGGCATAGTGGAAGGCATTGGGAAGTAATAAGTAGATGACGGGTTGCTAGAGTGACAGAAGCTTAAACCCTAGTTTATGCGTTGCTTCGTAAGGGGCTGATTTGGATCCATATGTTTCATGCTATGGTTAGGTTTACCTTAATACTTCCTTTGTAGTTGCGGATGCTTGCAATAGGGGTTAATCATAAGTGGGATGCTTGTCCAAGAAAGGGCAGTACCCAAGCACCGGTGCACCCACATATCAAATTATCAAAGTAACGAACGTGAATCATATGAGCGTGATGAAAACTAGCTTGACGATAATTCCCAAGTGTCCTCGGGAGCGCTTTTCTCATTATAAGAACTTGTCCAGGCTTGTCCTTTGCTACAAAAAGGATTGGGCCACCTTGCTGCACCTTGTTTACTTTCATTGCTTATTACCCATTACAAATTATCTTATCACAAAACTATATGTTACCTACAATTTCAGTGCTTGCAGAGAATACCTTACTGAAAACCGCTTGTCATTTCCTTCTGCTCCTTGTTGGGTTCGACACTCTTACTTATCGAAAGGACTACGATAGATCCCGTATACTTGTGGGTCATCATTACATACCCTCATCCCTGAGGGTGAACTACTCCCTTGTCATTATGGAGAGTGCCGGGATGATGAAGATGGCCATCAGTGATGGATCCCCCCGCTGGCAGGGTGCCGGAACAGGGCCCCGATTGGTTTTTGGTGGCTATAGAGGCTTGCGGCGGCAGAACTATCGATCTAGGTTTCTTTTCGGGGTTTTTTGTATTTATAGGAATTTTTGCCATCGTTTTCACGTTAGGGGGGGGGGGTCTCCGAGTCTGCCACGAGGTAGGGGACGCGCCCAGGGGGTAGGGCGCGCCCTCCACCCTCGTGGATGACTCGGGACTCTTCTGGCCCAACTCTTTTGCTTTGGGGGCTTCTTCTGGTCCAAAAAAATCTCCAAAAATTGGCAGGTCAATTGGACTCCATTTGGTATTCCTTTTGTGTAAAACTCAAAAACAAGGAAAAAACAGAAACTGGCACTGGGCTCAGGGTTAATAGGTTAGTCCCAAAAATCATATAAAATAGCATATAAATGCATATAAAATATCCAAGATGGATAATATAATAGCATGGAACAATCATAAATTATAGATACGTTGGAGACGTATCAAGCATCCCCAAGCTTAATTCCTACTCGTCCTCGAGTAGGTAAACAATAAAAACAGAATTTTTGATCTAGAATGCTACCTAACATATTTATCAATGTAATCTTCTCTATCGTGGCAAGAATATTTAGATCCATCAGATTCAAAACAAAAATTTAATATTGACATAAAAACGATAATACTTCAAGCATACTAACAAAGCAATCATGTCTTCTCAAAATAACATGGCCAAAGAAAGCTATCCCTACAAAATCATATAGTCTGGCTATGCTCTATCTTAATCACATAAATTATTTAAATCATGCACAACCTCGGTTTAGCCTGTGGTGGAGCCACCACCCAGCGACCCTGGGCACTTTTCCGAGCTCGCTGGTTCCTAGTAGCAGCGATAGACAAATTAAATAAAGGGCTAAACTGATTGGTAACTTAATTTACCCGGGCAAAAAAGCAACTGGGCCTTTGTTTCTCTCATGTTCACAGCCCAACAATCAACAAACGACATTGCTACATGCAATCAGCCCAGGCCACCGAAACAAAGAAACAAAGGGGCGCTGGCTTCCTTGGGTCGCTCCAACTCTCTCTCTATCTATCTATCTATCTATCTATCTATCTCTCTCTCTCTCTCTCTCTCTCTCTCTCTCGTGTCTCTTTGTTTCTCACGCACGACCAGCGCAGGGACTGGGCGACAGAGGGCGGCAGTGGCGGATGAACCCTAGACGGCTCCGGCATCAGCGGCAAGCGACACCAGGCTACCATGTAGTCTATTCGTCTGGTCGTTCCTCAACCTCTCCTTCCTCTCATCTGGCTACGGCTTCGGATCAGCTTCCTACGGTAACAAATCTCCAGCGAATTTAGGTCCAAGGATCTCTCATCTCTGAAGTATGAATAGTTTGTCTGGGAAGTAGGATTGATACGAAGTACGGATCGAGATACTGATTATACATGGTCTGAGAGTTCAAGGTCAGACTTAGGGTTTAGGGCTTAAATTCAGGGGGAAATCATTGGGGGTGATCATGAATTCATTACTAGAGATAAATTGTATTTGTTTGTTGGCTATTCGAACAAAATCAAAGTATGTAAGAAGAAGGCAACTTGCACACTGTGGTATTCATGCAAATTTTTATTACCTTCAAACTGAATACAAAGAATTCTGTACTATGAAATTGTTGTAGCCAGTTGTAGCTCGCTTAGCAACTAACTTCAAACTTTATCATTAAATTTCAGAGATGAGGAGATTTTTGGTTAATAGTGCAAGCACTGAAAATGTGAATGGTGTGCAACCAAAAGTAGAAGTGGAGGCACAACCACCTCCTAACATTGCCAATGAATTTAATCCAAATGATATTGAGCGTGATCCAGGGAAGAGGAAACAAATTTGTGAGTATCCTCCTAATATTCAAGATCAAGTGAGAAGAGCTTATGTATTGAAGGGTACAATGCAAGCAGATTTGAATAAGTTTGCTTGTACTAAATTTGGAAGTTCATGTTCATCACGAGCATTTTCTAAATCTTGGTACAAAACTCATCCATGGATTGAATACAGTGAGTGGAAGAAGGCAACTTATTGTTTTCATTGCTTTCTCCTTAAGCAACCTGGAAGGGCTGAGCACTTTGGTTATGAAGTATTCACCAAAGAAGGATTTACAGATTGGAAGCATGCATCTAAAGCCTTCAAAGATCATATTGGTGGTCTTGGTAGTAAGCACAACTCTTGCATCAAGCATTATGATGATTATTGTAATCAAAGACAAAGTGTGGCAAGCAATTTTGCTAGAACTAGCAAGGAATCAGAAGAAATGTATAAGATCCGCTTGACTTGTTATGTAAGTTGTTCAAGATATCTCATCGCACAAGGCTTGGCTTTTCGTGAACATGACGAATCCTCTACTTCTCTGAACAAAGGAAACTTTAGAGAGATGATAGATTTGGAAAAAAACTAAAAATGAACAAGTGAGAGATGCTTTTGAACGTGGTCGAAGAAATTGCACAATGACATCCAGTGACATTCAAAAGGAGCTCGCAATGTGTTGTGCACATGAAGTTACCAAGAGGATCATGGCAGATCTTGGTGATAAACAATTCTCTATGCTTATTGATGAATCATGTGATATATCTGTGAAAGAGCAAATGGCGGTGATGTTGAGGTTAGTAATTTCACTTTCTTTCGTTATTTGTTTGTCATTTATTCTCTATGTTGTGCACTAACCTTCTTTTTCACATAGGATTTTGAATGACAAAGGAAAGGTTGTGGAACGATTTATTGCTCTTCACCATGTGCAATATACTACATCTGAGTCACTAAAGAATGCTCTTTATGGTATTCTTGATCATTATAAGTTATCTATTTCAAGGATACAAGGGCAAGGATATGATGGTGCTTCAACTATGAGAGGCAAGTTTAATGCTTTGCAGAAAAAAATCATAGATGAAAACCCTTTTGCTTTCTATGTTCATTGCTATGCTCATCGTTTGCAGTTGGTGGTTGTCTCTGTTGCTAGTAGTTTCTCATCTATTCATGATTTCTTTGAGTACATCTCCTTAATTGTGACCACAACAACTACATCTTGCAAGAGAAGGGATGCATTGACAGAGGCACAACAGCAAGATATTCTGCATAGACTTGAGAGTGGTGAGATATCTACAGGAAGGGGCTTGCACCAATCATCTACTCTTGCTAGGCCAGGTGACACTAGATGGGGTTCCCATCATACTACTTTGCTTTGTTTGAATTAGATGTGGTCCTCTGTGTTACAGGTACTTAGTACGGTTGATGAACATGGACGTGGGCCATCTCAAGCAACAGGTTTGATAGAAAAAATGGAGAGCTATAAATTTGCTTTCATTCTAAAGCTTATGTTGAAGTTGTTTGGCATCAGAAATGAGCTCTCAAAAGTCTTGCAAAGAAAATATCTTAATATTGTGCATGCCATAGAATTAGTGGATGATGTCAAAGCTTGGGTGGTAACATTAAGAGAGAGTGGTTGGGATGGTTTATTTTGTGATGTTCAAGAATTTTGTGCTGCTAATAGTATTCCAGTGCCAAACATGGATGAAGCAATACCAGTTCATGGTCACTCAAGGAGAGAAGGGAGGACTATCACTAATCTTCACCATTACCGCGTAGAGATTTTTTATGTTGCTATTGACAAAATATGCGTGGAGATGGACCACCGCTTCAGTGAAGGAGCTAATGGTGTGCTTGATTGCTTCTCATGTCTTGACCCCAATAATTCTTTCTCAAAGTTTAATGTTGATAAGCTTGCGCATCTTGCTGAAATTTATCACGATGACTTTTCCAATGATGATCGTGGAACAATAAGAGAGCTGCTTCTCACTTATATAAGTCATGTGAAAAGGCATGATTCTTTTTCTACTTGTGATGATGTTAAAAGTTTGGCAATGAAGATGGTTGAAACGGAGAAACATTTGGTATTTCCATTGGTATACAAACTTATTGAGTTGGCTTTGATATTGCCGGTGTCAACGGCATCTGTTGAGAGAACTTTTCCAGCAATGAAGATTATCAAGACTAAACTGCGTAGCAAGATCAATAATGAATGGTTAGATGACTTGATGATATGTTACACTGAGCGGGAGTTATTCAAGTCAGTTGATGATAAGAATATTATTCGAACATTTACTGCAATGGGGTCTCAGAAAGGGCATTCGCCTCATAATTTTCTTTAGTGCACTGTTGATATGTTCCATCTGACCATCTCTATTCTTGCAAGCTTTTGACTTCTCATCTCACAACTAAATTTATTTAATTACAAATCCATTTTTTGTATTGCAGTTCCTTCTAGGCTGATTGTATGTCTTTCTGTTGGCAAAAATGAACAAGTGAGAGATGCTTTTGACCGTGCTGGAAGAAATTGCATGGTCACCTCTAGTGACATATGGTATGTTGTAACGCCCCGGATGCAACTTTCCATATTCGTAACTCCAACTCTTGCCTTTTCCGGAGATGCTGTATGTTATTTCCTCCGTGGTTGGGTTTTTGTCTGTTGTTTTGCATTTGGTTCTTGTTATGCATCTCGTCTCATGTCATCATTCGCATTGCATCGGCATCATTTTCATAAAACTTGCATCCGTTCTGGTTCCGCCGGTTCTCTCCGTTGTCCGTTCTGAGCCCGACCACACTCGCACGCGCCCGCGGCACCTCCGAAATATTATTTTATAAGTGGCATAAAAATGTTCTCGGAACGGGTTGCAACTTGGCATGCGGTCTTATTATAGTGTCGAAAGACCGCCTGCCAAATTTCATCGCATTCGGAGTCCGTTTGATAGCCCAACCATCATCCGTAGCGGCACCGTTGCCGGTTTAATTGTCGAACGTTTCGGTCTCCGAAACTACCGCCGGGCCTCTCTCTCTCTTCTCTCCACTCAGCCCAACCTCTCTTCACAGCCCACCTAGGCCCGCCAACCCCCCCTCGCGATCAGATTCGTCGGATTACGATCACAGGCTCCAAACCCCTCCTAACCCCCCTCTAACCCTAGCCCCCTGCTATATATGGACCTCCTAGTCCATTTTGGGCAGCCTAACCCCCTCCACCTACCTCTAGCCTCCCCCCTCCTCAATTTCCGCACCGGCCCTCTCCTCCTCTGCCACTTGGCGCTGCCCCCGCCGCCAGCCACCACCCAGCGCCGCCGCCAAGTCAGCCGCGCCGCCCCCGCGCCCACTCCCTGCCTTCCACGCGTCCCCTGCCCACTTCCCCGCCGCTGTTGGCCTGTCCAAACCCGCGCAGGGCCCGCCAAGCCCATCTGGGCCCGGGTCGGCCCGACCCCGCGCTCTCCGCCGCTACCCTTCGTCCCGAGCCACTAGCTCGATTCGGCCTCGTCGGGAGCGTTCGCCGCCGCCCTCTGGCCGAAGCCACCTCGCCGGACTACTCCAGCCGTCGCCGGAGCCGCCCTCTCCGCCGTCCCAGGTCGCCGTCCCTGCCATCTTCCTCCCTGCGTCTCCTCTCTCCCTCACCTGGCTCCTCTCTCTCCTCGCAGGGACTGCCACCACCAGAGGATGCTCCGCCCGTCGCCGGCTGGCCTCGACGTCGCCGGGAACGGGTCCCCGGCCACGACCTCCACCGGATCCGGCCACTTGCGGCCCCGTTCCGGCCTCCCCGCGCCTCCCCATCGCTGTTGACCGCCGGCCGCCGCCACCCCTGGTCCTCCTCGCGGCAGATCTATTCCTGGAGGACGACGCCTCCGTTCGCCGCGCCCGCGTGGGCCCGGCCTAGCAGCGCCCAGGGCGCCAGGCCCAGCCGAAGCGCCAGGCCCAGCACCCCTTCCAGCCTGCCCGGCCTCCTCCTCACCGTCTGGGCTAAGCCCCTGGGTGAGCAGCCCCTCCAGATCGCTCCTCCTTTTTTTTCTCTCATGTTGGGCCAGCCTGCAGTTTCGGCCCGTATAGTGTGTTTTTCCTGCCTGCGAGTTTAGCTTTTATCCTGTGATTTACCAGTTTTGCAGAAAAACCCTTGAACCTCATGCATGTAATAACTAATTAACCGTGCATCGGATTAAAATAATTTATATATGTAAAATGCTAAGAAAATTGTGTAGATTAATAATATGCCATTTTCATCCATGTTTAAAATGTTTAAATTGATGTTTGCTTTAATTTGCTAATATGCCATGTTAAAATGCTTTATTTCATAACTAAATAACCGTAGCTCTGAATTTAATAAACTTTATATGTAAATTTGGTGGAAAAATGCCTAGTTTAACATGGTGCACTTTATTTTCCTGTTTAACAACATTAAAATTGTGTTTAGGGCAGAACAGTACCAAATCCATAATTTGCACATGGGGATTTTCCGGAATTGTTGTTTGTTGTTCCGGCCTCATTTAAACTTGTCTAGATAGGTAGTTTTTCATATGCTTCACCTCTTGCCATGTTCAGCAACACTTAATATTGTTTGGTAGCTTAACGGAGATCAACTAAATAATTGCTTGTGGTGTTTTCGTCAATATGCAACTCGTTGCATATTGAGCTCCACTTAATTTGTAGTGATGTTTGTTGCACTCTGCCATGCCATGCCTCATTAACCAGACATGCATCATATTTGTTTGTGCATCATGCCATGTTTATGCTTGTGCATTTACCATGTTGTTTGTTTCTTTCCGGTGTTGCTTCTTAGTTCCGGTAATGTTGCGTTCGTGAGGATTCGTTCGACTGCTCCCGTTCGTCTTCTTCATGGACTCGTTCTTCTTCCTTGCGGGATTTCAGGCAAGATGACCGCTACCCTGGATCTCACTACTATCATTGCTATGCTAGTTGCTTCGTTCTATCGCTTTGTTGCGCTACCTATCATCTGTTTGTCGAGCCATCCCCTGTTGTCATGAACCTCTAACCTTTGACACCTTTCCTATGCAAACCGTTGTTTGGCTATGTTACCGCTTTGCTCAGCCCCTCTTATAGCGTTGCTAGCTGCAGGTGAATTCGAAGATTTCTCCTTGGTGGACAGGATTTTGGTTGGGATATCACAATATCTCTTATATTATTCATGCATCTATATACTTGGTAAAGGGTGGTAGACTTGGCCTTTTGCCTGGTGTTTTGTTCCACTCTTGCCACCCTAGTTTCCGTCATATCGGTGTTATGTTCCCAGATTCTGCGTTCCTTACGCGGTTGGGTGATTTATGGGACCCCCTTGACAGTTCGCTTTGAATAAAAATCCTCCTGCAAGGCCCAACCTTGGTTTACCATTTGCCTCACCTAGCCCTTTTTTCCCTTTGGTTTCCGGAGCCCGAGGGTCATCTTTATTTACCCCCCCCCCCCGGGCCAGTGCTTGTAGTGAGTGTTGGTCCAAACTGTCGGCCGCCGGTGGCCACCAGGGGCAACTCTGGGCTGGCCTACCGGAAGTCTAGACAATCCGGTGTGTCCTGAGAATGAGATATGTGCAGCTCCTATCGGGATTTGTCGGCACATCCGGGCGGCTTTGCTGGTCTTGTTTTACCATTGTCGAAATGTCTTGTAAACCGGGATTCCGAGTCTGATCGGGTCTTCCTGGGAGAAGGTCTATTCCTTCGTTGATCGCGAGAGCTTGTCATGGGCTAAGTTGGGACACCCCTGCAGGGTATAATCTTTCGAAAGCCGTGCTTGCGGTTATAGGCAGATGGGAATTTGTTAATGTCCGATTGTAGATAACTTGACACCAGATCCGAATTAAAATGCATCAACCGCGTGTGTGGCCGTGATGGTCTCTTCTCGGCGGAGTTCGGGAAGTGGACACGGTTTCTGAGTTATGTTTGACATAAGTAGGAGTTCAGGATCACTTCTTTATCATTACTAGTTGACGACCGTTCCTCTTGCTCTCTTCTCGCTCTTATTTGCATATGTTAGCCACCATATATGCTTATTCGCTGCTGCAGCCTCACCACTTTACCCCTTCCTTTCCCTTTAAGCTTTGCTAGTCTTGATACCCATGGTAATGGGATTGCTGAGTCCTCGCGGCTCACAGATTACTACAACAACAGTTGTAGGTACAGTTTATGCGATTTATCATGACGCGAGAGCGATGTTTGCTTGTATTGGAGTTCTTCTTCTACTTCTTCGATCAGGGGATAGGTTCCAGGTCGGCAGCCTGGGCTAGCAGGGTCGATGTCGTTTGAGTTTCTGTTTGTGATTCATCCGTAGTCGGATGATGCTCTTATGTATCGTGATGTTGTATTCATTTGGCATTGTATGCCTTATGTATGTATCCCCATCTATTATGTAATGTTGATGTAATGATATCCACCTTGCAAAAGCGTTTCAATATGCGGGTCTATC